TAGATGGGCAACAATGAGACGAGATGGTTTTACAGGTGGAGGCCACTGAGATTTTTTTCCCTACTCCATCTTTTTAGACTGTTTTGCACTAGTTTTGCATTCGGCTGGGGCCAGTGTCACTACTGGTAGCATGAGGCGATACCTGGACCCTATAGAGGTTGCACAGGCATGCCAACTTCTCCAGGATGGCACATGAATACGTGCCATTTCCAGAAGGTTTGCTGTGTCTACCAGCACAGTCTCAAGAGCATGGAGGAGATTCCAGGACAAGGTCAGTTACTCTAGGTGAGATGGACAGGGTCGTAGAAGGTCCTTAACCCATCAGCAGGACCGCTATTTGCTTTGTGCAAGGAGGAACAGTATGAGCACTGCCAGAACCCTACAAAATGACCTCCAGCAGGCCACTGGTGTGAATGTCTCTGACCAAACAATCAGAAACAGACTTCATGAGGGTGGCCTGAGGGCCTGACGTCCTCTAGTGGGCCCTGTGTTTACTGGCCGGAACCATGGAGGTCGATTGGCATTTGCCATCGAACACCAGAATTGGCTTTTCACAGATGAGAGCAGGTTCACCCTGAGCACATGTGACAGACGTGAAAGGGTCTCGAGAAGCTGTGGACAACGTTATGCTGCCTGTAACATCGTTGTGCAGGATCGGTTTTGTGGTGGGTCAGTGATGGTCTTGGGAGGCATATTCATGGAGGGACGAACAGACCTCTACAGGCTAGACAAAGGCACCTTGAAATCCTTGGACCAGCCATACAAGCACGTGGGGGTCATACAAACTACTGAGTACCATTTTGAGTTGCTGCAATGAAATTTCAGCACAATGGACTAGCCTGCTGCATCATTTGTTCACTTTGATTTTTTTGGGGTGTCTTTGAATTCAGCCTTCTGTAGGTTGATAATTTTTCATTTCCATCAAACAATGGGGTATCCTTTCATTCCTAATAGAGCTGCAACAGTTAATCGATTTACTCGATTAAAATCGACGATTGAAAACATTGTCAACGTTTTCGATCATCGATTCGTCGGCTATCGATTGATTTGCCTGTTCGGGGCTCCACACCGCTGTGCCCACCGCACAGGATGCATAAGCCACGCCCACCTCCTCGCCGCGAGCTCCCTCACTCGTGGCTGGCCCGCCGACAATCGAGGGCCCACCTTCTGAAAGCAAGTCAGTGTGGAACCGGTATGCAGGGATATAGTGGTGGAATAGGGGTGCGGTGGTGGAATAGGTGTATGGGGGTGCAGTGTGGACCAGGCGTGTGGGGGTGCTGTGGTGGAACAGGTGTGCAGTGTGGAACAGTTGTGTGGGGAGGCAGTGGTGGAATAGGTGGATGGAGGTGCAGTGGTGGAATAGGTGGAAGGGGGTACAGTATGGACCAGGTGTATGGCTGTGAAGTGGTGGAATAGGTGTATGGGGGTGCAGTGGTGGAATAGGGGTGCAGTGTGTAACAGGTGTGTGGCGATGAAGTGGTGGAATAGGTGTGTGGTGGTGGAAAAGGGGTATGGAGGTGCAGTGTGGAACAAGTGTATGAGTGTGATGTGGTGGAATAGGTGTTTGGGGGTGCTGTGGTGGAACAGGTGTACAAGGGTGCTGTGTGAAACAGGTGTATGGGTGCAGTAGTGGAATAGGTGTGTGGGGGTGCTGTGTGGAACAGTTGTATGGTTGTGAAGTGGTGGAACAGGTGTATAAGTGTGCAATGGTGGAATAGTTGTGTGGGGGTGCCGTTGTGGAACAGGGGTACGAGTTACGCTGCGAACGCAACGACTATGCCACGCCCACCCCACAAGCCGGACACACGCCCGCAGAGCATGCCGCCGCTGCGACTTACAAGGGTTCAGAAACAGGTAAGGGGGACCCGTTTTAATATTTCCTGTTTTTAAAAAAAAAAGCGGCACACTGTAGAACACCACCAGCTATAGAGGAACACCAAATCCCAGCAATAATATATTAGGCAGCCTGTATAATGTATTATTGCTGGGACTTGTTGTTCCTCTGTAACTGGTGGTATTCTCCATTGCGCTGTATAATTTATTATTGCTGGGATTTGTAGTCCTCTATAACTGGTCAGTGGTAATCTGCATTGCGCAGTATAATCATTATACAGCGCAATGGAGAATACCACCAGCCTTAGAGGACTACAAATCCCAGCAATAATACATTATATACAGCGCAATGCAGAATAACGCCAGCTATAGAGAAATACAAATCCCAGCAATAGTACATTATAGTATAATGTACTATTGCTGCATTTCTCTATAATGCAGGAAGCATTGAGCTGGCTTTCTGGCCAATCAGGAAGCCGGGGTCAGGTAATGACTCGCCGCCCGGCTTCCTAATACCGGAAGTTCCGGCATCGGGAAAATTTTGGCCGAGTACAAATACTCGCCCAAATACTTGTTATCGTTACCGATACTGGTAGCGGTGCATCCCTAGTAATAATAATCCCTTTTTTGTGGACATTCAGTCTATAACAAATGGAATATGAAGCTGGCATATCTATTTCGATGGAGAGAACGGTCCTACCAATCAGTTGTTGTCTGATGTCAATATGGCAAGTGCTATTGCGGGGAGTAAACAAAATGGGTCCCAAACATTTGGTTTGCAAGGCACTGGCCATGTTTCTGAGTGACACATTTCTTCTCCAAAGGGACTTCCTCATAGGAGCATGGTTTATGTATTTAAAGTGACATTAAACCCTCAGATTTTTTAACATAAACCAATACTGTAATGTGTGCCTTACTGTAATCCATGGTTGTTTCCCTTCTCTTTGCTGCTCTTCCTTTTAAATCCTTATCTTTTCTCATGCTGGGGGAGAACTTCCCTTTGCAGCTGAGTGCCTCTCCCTGTAGTGCTGGCTCAGGTTGTGAACCTTCACACAGACACCATGTATCCATTTCAGAGACAAGGCAGTCTGCTGCAAAACAGAAGCATGAGAACAGATACAGATTTAAAAGGAAGAGCAGCAAAGAGAATGGAAACTACCATGGATTACAGTAAGGCACACATTACAGTATTGTTTTATGTTAAAAAATCTGAGGGTTTAAAGTGACATTAAAGCCAAAAAATGTTCCCCTCCCCCCCATGTAAATGTTAGCACTTACCTCAAGTGATGTCTCTTATTCTGATCTTCCTCTTCTTTCCCCATGTTTTCATCAGTCCCTCCAGCGGTGCGACGTCACTCCGATCCAGCGCTGACTGCTCTGTCTCTCCGATCCAGCGGTGTCTGCAGGCGGGTGCACGCGTCCATAGACTTACCTTGCGTCTCTGCTCGTCTCCCGGCCAAGAATCGGAACTGCGCATGCGCCCGCCCCAAGATCCTTTGCGGCCGTACGAGCAGTTCCTGATTCTCGGCGAGGGAGCGAGCAGCGATAGCGAGGTAAGTTTAAAACCAGTTCAATCGTTTTTTGTTTTTTTTTTAAACTTCTTGCCTATATCTACTGCTAGCAAGCAAAAAAAACGGAGGGTTTAGAACCCCTTTAATGTCACTTTAACTTTGGTAGCATTTATAAAGATATATAAAGAGGTAAGCCCAATTAGGGGGTTGTTTTGATAGTATTCTTGTTTTGAATTCTTGTTTGAATTTAGTTATTGGATGGATCTGCAGGTCTGCCATTCTCCATGGGGGGAGGGGTTGGCGGGTAGGGTGGCGCATTGAGGAACCAGGTCTTGGGGCAGCAGAGAGAGAGTAAATCCGGCCCTGCATACACAGCCAGATATTTGTAGGTAACAAATACTATGAGCATTGATTGTAAAGTCAGGAATTTGTAGATTCTGGATATGCTGACTAGGGCACACATTTTCCAGCATGTTGGAAAATCTCTGATGAGTACAGTATTCATTCCTTTTCATTATTGAAAAAGAAGAATTTCATCACTTTATATGCACCACATGTTTATACATTTAGGGTAGGGGGGCCAGTAAAAAGAAAAACATAAAATCTATCATTGTACCTTCAAATAGCTGCACCAACATACATCAGCCTATACTGCTCTGTCTTTACTGGGTCCTGGAGAGGTCAGGTTGGTTCCTGAACACTAATGCATTTTTTTTTTATGCAAGTAAACAGATCTCTACTTTGAACAGGTTATGATGTAAACAATTATTTTTGGGCAGTTCATATAAAATTCTTATGAAAAAAAGACTGGTTTAAACTTTAAAGTAGTATTAAACTCTCAAACTTTGTGCAAGTAATTATTTCAGATCAAACAAATATTCATTGCCTAGAAAAGTATTTCTTTATAATTTTGTCCAAACACTTAGTCGTCATGTTTCCAAACAGCTCCAACTCTCAGCTCGGCTTCCCTGAACCCTCTGTCTAGTACAAGATCACAAGGGACCGAGCAGCCATCCATCAACTTGTTTGAGGAAAGGAGGAGTTGAGAGCAGGGGAGGTGTTTTGCCTTGTTGTGTTTGTGGAGACACGCACAGCTTACTAGCAAATACAGTGGTGGCTCTATAGGACCCTGCAAGGGAAAGGAGCCACCCTAGATATATCAGGACCAGTGCTCAGGGGACCAGCCGATTCTACAGGAAACTAACATTTTTAAACTGCCTCCTACTGTATCAATTGCTCATGTATCAATTGCCCCTCCCTTTTAGATTGTAAGCCCTCAGGGGCAGGGCCCTCCTTACCATCTTGCCTTGTATTGTGATTGTAATGTCTTCCTAATATTGTAAAGCGCTGTGCAAACTGTTGGCGCTATATAAATCCTGTATAATAATAATACTAACTTCAGGGAGCAGCATCCATTGTAAGTGCTTTAATCAGGATTTGAAATTCCTTCAAAACCTTTTGACTTATCACTTTAATAATAAAGACTTTCTTTGCTTCCGGTCTTTGAGCATGCATGGTTCATTGAAACCTGTTTTGTATTTATTGCCTTTTATAATTGCTAATTAATAAACTGTTGTATTATGTAGCAGTAGGTTTGCTTGTGTATTGGGTATGTTCCATACATTAGTGATCTCTGTACCTGTCTTTTATTTGTAGGGGTTGGAAAGTCATGTCTTCTACTTCAGTTTACAGATAAGAGGTTTCAGCCTGTTCACGATCTCACTATAGGTAAATGCTTTCAAGAATTTTGTAGCCTGCTACTTAAATGTCTGCTTTTTTTTCTATTCCAGTTATGTCAAGGCTTTTTCCTTCAGATGATCATCAAAATGTTTTTACTGCAACTATGTGTATATATACTTGTTAGGCCTCATTCACACACAACACAAAAGCAAAATTGTATATTGCGTACATACACGCGCGTATGCACTATATGCAATCCCAGAATGCATCATTGGTGATAGAAATTTTAATGATGTGTACGTGAGTATACGCATGCAAACACGCCTATATGCGCGTAAAATATGCAGAAATACGCTGCCCGGACGCATCTCGGTTCCATTCTGTTTTTGCAAAAAAAAATGTATACGGCTCCATACGCAGCTATGTGTATGGAGCCATTTATTTGCATATGCAGCATATGGTACAATACGCGCTGCAGTGTGAATGAGGCCTTAGACTGTTACCCTATGTAAGCATATAACTTTTTTTTTTTGTAACACTCCAGTTAGGCCTGTGGATGTACATCTAACGGGTACTGTATGACTATCTAAACAAGTCCCAAATTAACTTACTATGTGATGCAAGAAAAAACATGGTACCTGCATGAATCTATAACTAGGCTTTACGGCAGGGTGCACATTGGGAAGGCTTACAACAATACAAAACACAAAAATTCCCCAGCCTCAACCTGCCAGCCAGCCTGCAACCAAACAAGTATGCGTTAAAATCAGAGGTTTTAGTTGCACAAACTTTTGGCCAAAAATATGTAGAAGCCACACCGCCACGCCAAGGCACCTCTGCAAGGTGTGGTCCTAACTCTATGTATGTGAGTCTCCAAGTGTGAGCATATTAATGCAGTCGATAGATTGCATGCAGGTGTACCTGGAGGTAGCCAATTCCTCCTAAAAAGGTGCAGGGACGCACTGGAGGCCCAGCAACCAAAAATGCACGCTGGGACCCCAGTGCGTCCTCTCAACCAAAAATAGTCAAACTAGAAAAAAACATGGTACCTGCATGAATCTATAACTAGCCTTCACGGCAGGGTGCACATTGGGAAGGCTTACAACAATACAAAACACAGAAAATCCCCAGCTCACCTGCCAGCCAGCCTGCAACCAAACAAATTGCCCTGTCAACAGTATGCGTTAAAATCAGAGGTTTTAGTTGCACAAACTTTTGTGATGCACAAGCCTCATAAAGTAAACAGAAATCTTTCTTTACCTTCCTTGACTAAGCCAAACCCTCCTTCATTTGTGTCTCACACATCTCCCATTCTCCCCCACCCATTGATAGCATTGATATGACTATCAGCATATAGGGGGGAGTGAAAACCTATAAACCTATGGGTGCTGCAGAACTTTTTTTGTTAATGGAAGGCCATAGTTCTAGTTTAAATCAAATTATTTTCTGTCCTACACTCCATCCCTAATACATAAAATATATTTAACATAAGTCGCTTATTTGCAGTTTTGCGTTTCTTCATTTTTATTTTTTTTTACCATTTTGCAAAAAGGTGCAATTTAAATACAATACAGTTCTATCTTTTTAGATTTAGTCAAAAGTATTTATTTATTTTTGTGCACTGATACTGATTTTAGTGTGCTTTTATCAATTGAATTGTGCATTTTTATCGGTTTAATATTGATTTGATAAACATTTGCGCAATTATCACAGGACCTACAAAATTAGTATTGCCATCTTTTTATTCTACCGGGCCTGTACTTTCAGAAAATATATGGTTTGGGGGTCTTTTACAAACGCTAGCAACGCAGCAATAGAAAATCAAATCAATGGGAAAAGTTGCAAAAATGGTGTCGCCAGCTGAGGTTAAAGGGCTTGGCAACGAAAGAGTTAAATAATGCTTAGTTTTATACTGGATGCCTAAACCATGGTGTTTAAAACAGAAAAAAATTCAGATTTCTCATGGAAACAAAAATTGGTCAATAGATCCCTATAGATTAGTCAGCCAGATTTTCTTTGTGCTCTGGTGTGTGGATCTACACAATGTACCCAAAGAGTTAGGCCTGAGGAGAGGATTGAGGTCCCTTGGCCTAGGTTCAGAAGTTGGTGTGAAACTGCAGTTTGTTCACTCAAAACACACTGCACAGCCACACGTTCAGTTATCAAAAGGTGATATTCAAACTTGATATTGATTTGTGTTTGGAGAACGTAGTGTACTCTATTAATTATGAATGGGTTTGATGCATTTTTGCTGGCTTGCAGCATGTGGTGTAACCCAAGAAAATCGCATTGCAGTCTACGTTGCCTTTTATTTATTTATTTTTTTCTCTGGCTTTTCTATGTGCAAAGTTTGTAATACAGCTGCTTGTTTTGCTATATTGGGCAGGCCTTGAAAAAAATTGCCACAATATCTAGGAGCCAACCCCAAAACATTAGGAACCAACAACAATTTAGATTTGACCTGATGTATGAGAGTCCTCATCCCCATATAGCAGCTATACATATGAAACATTATATAATAGTTCTCTTAATCCTTCTCCTCTTGGACTGGCCAGATATATACCCCATATATACAGTTCTTAGCCACCTCCCCATTCTAGCGCTTATCCCAACCTATAGCAGCCACTGGGTTTAGTGATTTCAAACTTGTTCTTCACAGCAACTGAGCATCGAAGTAAACATGAAAGGATGTCCAGCCAAAACTTTTCTGTATTTCCCTGCTTTTTTTTTGTCTAGGGGACCTTTGTAAATGACTTACTTACCTGATCCATGCTCCTGCTTGCTCCAAGATCTGCATCCACAGCCTGTTTCTCCATCTGATCTGCCGGTTGGAAGCTCCTTGACGTCATCACGTCCTATTCAGAGCCCATAGCCCTGCATTATACGTGAGGACAGCAAGGGACGTCCATGAGCCTTAGTGGATGAGAGAGGGGTAAGCACCAACCCCCAGGGGAGCTGGGATTAGGAAAATCAAAGTTATTTTTTTTCACATATGCCTAAACATTAGTGAGCGATAAACCCTAGCAGTGTGGGGGTAGCCCTACTGCTAGGGTAGTTATTTGGTGTTTTTGTTTGTTTTTCCAACTGATTGCCTTTTTGTTTTTTTTCTTTCCAGGGGTTGAGTTTGGTGCCAGAATGATAAATATAGATGGGAAACCCATAAAACTGCAGATATGGGACACGGTGAGTTTACCTATTTGTTTTTTTATTCATATACTGCATTGATCTAGCATATGTTTTATTCACTTTTTCCACTTACAGAGCTAGGTTATTGTTTTTCTTTTAATAAATATTCATGTAATTTTATTGGTATCTATTCTTCTAATAATCTTCATTTTGTACATTTACCAGTAGCTGCCTCATTTCCCACCCTCGGCTTATATTCGAGTCAATATTTTTTCCCAGTTTTTTGTGGTAAAATTAGGTACCTCGGCTTATATTCGGGACGGCTTATACTCGAGTATATACGGTAACTAAGAAAAATTGATATCCTGCTGTGTTAATGGTATTGATGTTTTAAATGTACCTTTTCTTTACCCATGCCAACTGCAGAATATAGTTATATATCTGTATCCTTTTTAAGTGGCCCTATCATTTCACCAGGCCCTAGTCTCATGTTTTGCACTGTATACCCTGAACTGATATAGTGTTGAAGCCCCAAAATACCAACCTTTGGATAAAAAACACTGTTAGAGGATGCAATAGCATTATGTCTTATCTTGCATGTTATTAAGGCCTTGTTCACACTTGCGTTTTTGCGCTCTATAGGCCGGTTCACACCACAAAGTCTGCGTTCCAGAGAGCTCGGCCTCTGGAACGCAAGCCGGCCAGGGGGCGTGGCGGTGCATTGACATCAATAGCACCACAGCCACGCCCCCCACCCGCAGTGCGATTGCACGGGGAACGTAGACAAATTAGTGCCTGCGTTCCGGTCCAGTGCGATCTGCACAAATACTGCAAGCACTATTTTTGCAGATGGCACTGGACCGGAACGCAAGCACTAATGTGCCTGCGTTCAAGGTGCGGGCGATTGCACTGCGGGTGGGGTGTGTGGATGCAGTGCTGTTGACTTAAATGCACCACCACGCTCCCTCCCGCCCCTGAACGCAGGGAGCAGGCTGGCTTGCGTTCAAGAGGCCGAACACTCTGGAACGCAGACTTTGTGGTGTGAACCAGCCCTAAATGCAGAGGAAAATCTGTCAGGCTAGATGCGTTATATGATGCATGATAACATGTTTTACATGCGTCTATGTGCATTTACATGCATATGTGTTTAGATGCATCTGATACCCAACCTTATCAAATCATGTTTACATGCATTTTGGTGCAATTAGAAATTAAAATTGATTCTTGCATGCACCTGACTTCTATTTTTTTCTAAACGCAGATAAACTGACTGCAGATAAAGGCATATAAATGCAATTTGTGAATGGATCAATTGGAAATCATTAGATGCACATACATGCGATTAGAAAAGCTTTTTAAATTCACATTAAGGCATCTAATCGCACCTAGTGTGAATGTAGCCTCAGTGTGTACTTTAGAAGAAAAAAGTGTGTAAATGATTTCCTATGCTCCTCAGTTCCATCTAGTGATCAATATGCAGTACAACTTTACATGTATTCGACCTGAAAAGAAAATGTCCTTAGCTCCCTCTAGTGGCAAAAATTAAGTATTGCGTTACATACGTTTTTCCTGAAAAGAAAATGCTCCTCAGCTCTAATTAGTGGCCAAAGTGCAGTAGTATATTACATACATTGGACCCAAAAAGAAAATATATCTTAAAAAAAAAAGGTTGATTGTGTGTTTGTTTGCACAGAACGAACGTTCAGAAAGATTTATAGTACAAAAGTCTCTGCAGATTGGGTAAAATAGACCCCATACTAACCGGATTTGATACTTGTTTAGACTGTCATACAGGAGGGTTTAGTTGTACTTTAAAGCTGAACTCCAGAATAGGCAAATATCTACATACAAGAGGAATGTGTATTCTTACTTGAATCTTGGTGTGCTTTGTGTATTTCTTCCAGATCTGTGCAGTAATGCAGAGTGAAACTTTGCCTCTGTGGAAGAGTGTCTTGTAATACAGACCGGTCACTGCTGTTCTCTCTTCTTGTGCGGGGTGACTGGTCTTGTATCCGCCCCCTCCTGTAGTTTTCAGCAGGCAGTCTGTTGGGTCCCTCCCACAGCTCTACTATCTGCACAGGCTATGTGCCCCACAGTGATGTCACTAATACTTTCATAAGGAAATGTCCAGGTTTGCAAAGGCATTTGGTGAACACAAAGCAGATTTAAATCCTTTGACAAATATTACTTTTACATTTTTTGTGCCTGGAGTTCAGCTTTAAGGAATGCTAAGATGACATACAACAATATTGGCAGAATGGCCCTTTATCATGCCTTAAGCACATTTTAAGGTGCCTTAAATTCTATTAAAGCTTGAGGAACTAGAGACATTGAATGCCTCATTAGTTAAAGAAATTATTTGGAAATGGGGATGTAGTTGGGAGGGTCATGTGCTGAAACTTTATTTAGAGCTCATGAGAGAACATTGAACCTTTATGGTTAGCTTCTTCCCCCTAAAGAGATAACACGCCTACAGATCTTCGTTTACAACGCCTTTTGTCAGAGTAAAATCTTCTCCTGAATGATCTAGCCAAGCCATTGATCCTGTCAGAAATGCAGAGCTGTCCCTTTTAACTCTGCCTGTGTTATCTCAAGGACTATAATCACTCGACACAGCTCTTTCTTGGACTATAGAACAACTCCCCTATGTTGAGTAGAGGGTGGAGTGTTCTTTAATATATCAAAAGACAACTGGGGAGGACTACACCATCTTGTAATTTAATTCCAGAAAAGTCAGTGTTCTTTCAGCCCACAGCAGGATAATAGGAGCTGAGTACCATTTATGACAGATGGACAGTTATTTTTTTCTGTATCGGCAGGGTCTTTAAAGGGTAAAATGTGGGGATGTGTATGTCAAAGATGTGTTCCATATACATTCAATATTATTATTACTATTATTATTCCCTAACTACAGGGCAGTCAAGGTGTAAATGTAATAAATGGAGTTTCACTAATGCAGCAGATATTACCATGACACAGAGGTGATTGGTATTTGAATTCTACACTGGCTTTGGGTCCATTTATTGAGTCGCTGACCTGGAACAAGTATAGTATAGTATGTACTTGCATGTTTGCTGTAGGTCAGGGACTTACTAATTTGTGAAGCCAGGATCAGGATGACAGCCCTGTGGCTTGCAGTGTTGAAAATGGCTCCCATATTGTTCTTTTCATAAAAGAGGCTGATACTTTTGGATGTACAATGTATCTGATTCTTCGTGTTTGCTTCATTGTAACATGCTGCATATACCATATTGTCTATGCTTTGCCTTCTCAAACATTGTATGTTCCTTTATTCTGCCCAGGCTGGACAGGAGAGTTTCCGTTCTATAACCAGGTCATATTACAGAGGTGCTGCAGGAGCACTCCTTGTATATGATATAACTAGGTAAGATTGTATTTTGTAATGCTGGCACTGTTTTCTCTGGGTCATTTTTGTTATGTAATTGCACTTTTACATTTACATTAGCCTGTTCAATACAAAACCTTTAAGGCCCCTTTCACACCCTAACATTGTGTAATGCACATTATATGTGTTTGGTGCTTTGCTGTCCAATTCAATTTGAATAACATCCCAATGCACCTCCAGTGTAATGTATGTATCATGTAATGTATTATACGTTGCGGTGCACTGCATTATTAAACAATGGAGCACATATGATTTTTAAATGATGTGGTGCATTGGGCAGCCCATTCAAAGGTATAGGCTGCCGCTACACATGTAAACGTGCAAAATGACACACCACAGTGGACCTGATCAGTGTGAATGGACCCATAGCATTTGGTTGGCTCTGGCATGTTGATGTCACCCCCTTTGTCATGAAACATTATTTGGTCTTGGTGATGGGCTGATCAGTCCAAACACTGCATGTTGGGAGGAGGCCACCCCAATATCTGTTTGCAACTATGTGGTGGCTAAAAGCGGCAGGGGAGCACAGTGGGGAAAGTTAGTATTGCTGGGTCAGCGGGTTTTATCCAGATATGCAATCTGAAATGAGACCTGTTTGAACCATATAATGTGATTATTAAAGAAGTCATGAGAAGCAAGTGTAAAATGTGGGGAACACCTATTTCACAAATGTTATTTGTCTTTCAGGCGAGAGACCTTTAGCCATTTAGCATCATGGTTAGAAGATGCAAGGCAACACTCTAGTAGCAATATGGTGATCATTTTAATTGGGAACAAAAGGTGAGATTTCTATTGGATCATTTCTTCTCTTATGTAAAATACTAAACCCATGCATCCTATAAGCTAATAGTTAATCTTTTGGTAGGTGCTGGAGAGTATAGTCTTATGTCGTCCTCTCTGCCCCTCCAGTGGAAAGTTCTCTTATTTCTTTAAAATATCTCTCTGTTTTAGAACAGGGGTTTTAGGCTGTAGGTCTGTCCTATCAACTTCTAAAGCACAGCATTGGTAAGTTGCTAAGGAAAAATGTCAAATAATAAAGGTGCTATCAGGGTTACAAAAATGAAAAGCTTTGTTCCCGGTCAGTTACCTGTCCTGAGCTCAGGCAGGAGACAAGTCAACCTCTTTGGACGGGCCTTACAGCCTGACATGGAGCTCTTCCTGTCTGCTCTGACAGGAAGAGAATTGAAGTAAATCATAGCGTGTGCACACACACCAGTCTCTGAGGTAAGATTGTTGCACTATTTTACCAGCTATTTTAATAGTGTACAATTGTCCTTTCCTAACTGTTACTCTTAAAAGCTTGCCTTTAATTTTCTTGTAAGGCTTAGAAGCAGCTCTACATTACTACTATAAGATGTAGTAATGATTTGTAATGTTAGAAGTTCATCTCTGCTATCCCTGTGGTGGTGGTGGTGGTGGTGATGCTGCTGCTGCCGGATACAGGATTGCCTCCTTCTCTCATGAAAGAAATGCCCCATGAGTGCTAAACCTTTCTTGCACTTGCATCCATTCTTGGTCCTTCACTGACCCTGGACCCCCAGTAATATGGACTGGATGTTGAGTTCTAGCCAGTTTAGGTAATTTGAGTCCTTATTTCCTAAAACACTAGATGTGCTAAAATCCATACACTATATTCTGTACATGAGTATTTTGTCCAATTATTCCTCAGTGATCTGGAGGGCCGTAGAGATGTTTCGAGGGAGGAAGGAGAGGCATTTGCAAGAGAACACGGCCTAATATTTATGGAAACCTCTGCCAAAACCGCTGCAAATGTGGAGGAGGTGAGATCAAGGCCTGTATGGCAGGCATGAGCATTTTACAACCACGTTTCTTGCTCACTTTAAGCACCTGACTGTTCTTTGTTGTTTCTAAGGCCTTTATTGGCACTGCCAAAGAAATTTACAAGAAAATTCAGCAGGGACTCTTCGATGTAAACAATGAGGTAAGGATGTGAAGCGTTCATGTCTTTGATGACATCATGTTGATCAGGATACTAATCTAACATTGTTCCTTTTGCTACTTTTTCTAAAGGCTAATGGCATTAAGGTTGGACCACAGCAGACACTATCGGAGCCTCTCGGGGGAGCAAGACAAAGCCAAGCAGACGGGAGAGGGTCTTCTGGCTGCTGTTAAGAAAAATTCTAATGGCTAATATTTGAGGATAATGGGGTTCAGCCCTTGGCTCACTATATCCTTGCATCTCTTCCCTATTTTGGTCTATTGTACTTCTCTTCATATTTTCAAATTGGCCCCATAGGCTATTTCAATGCACACATATGAGGGATTAATCTCTTCTTCAAACATTCATATTCTTGCTCAGTGTAGCAAGTATAATAATCTGCGTGACTAATAAATGCTACTTTGTAAACCAGTTGAAGAAAGAGAAAATATGTTTACGTTCCAGGGTGTTTCCATTTAAAGTATTACAGTTTAAAGGTAAGTTATCACCATGATTATGAAGTGCCATGATTAACATTTACAGTCTTAACTAGATAGTTTATGCCTGCCTGACACCAGGTTGCCTACAGAGACTAGAATGTTCATCTAAACAATGACCATGGGTAGCTGGGACACTTGAAGTATAAACATTTGTTACCTGAAATTGCTTTAACAGGTAGTATTGTTACGTATCCCTGCAAAGGCTGGCGGAGCAAGCACATTTGTAGTAAGGAGGCAATTGGGAGTTTAAGTATCTGATGCTCCAAATGAAACCACATTATGCCTTGTATATGCAAACTGTCTGCTATCTGTAGGATGCAGTCAGATGTCACCTGCAAGTTAGAAGATTTAGTGCAACTTGCTGGTACAAATAACTTGCCCCCTCCCAGCTCAGACGATGAAGCAACAGTCCTTTCCTTGGTGATACTTTCTCTGTAAAGTGCATATAACTTACCGGAAACACAGCATGAGAATTCAAATTGCCTATAGCTAGTTGTCTTATTGTTGTACTTGAATAGACAATTTAATTTTTTTTGTTCTCTTCGGAAAAAAAATTATTCTTCAAACTGAAGTTTTTTTTAAAAATGCGTTTTTATTGTCAATTTTACATTGTATTTTAGCACTTTATTGCTTGTAGTAAGGTACAAGAAAATGCCATTATGTATTATTATTATTATTATTATAATTATGTATTATTATTACCACTGTTATTATCATTATTACTATTATTTTTGGTGCCATTCAATGTGTTAATACATTCTTTTGTTTGCCATTAAATAATTTTTATTCTAGCCTATTGCATTTTCCTGTCTCTGGCTTCTGTTAATGGTAAAGTAGACTGAACTGGTGCCTTCCTTTTGCTCCCCTGCCAGTGCATTCGGCCTCTGGGAGCAAAGAAAGGAAGCCTTGTGTAAGCTACAAGTCAGAACCTGGAGCTAACACAGTGCTGAAGGCTCACTGCAATGGAAAAAATGCACACATATGTGACTGTAACCTTAGATTTGAGAAGGGCTTTATTATTGTACAAGATTGATATATTTCTTTATGAACCAGTACAGAGATTCTGACATAATTGAAGTGTTATATGACATCTCGTTCTCATCTGTTTGTTGGCATTCGTCCTATATACTCAAATTATAATGCAGAAGACCCGGCACTTTCATACATTAGGGACATTAAAGTGTATGTATGACCAAAACCTTTTGAAAAAATGTGTTTTCAGTAAAAAGGGATTAGAATGCCTGTTAGATTTTATTGCTGTCTGCATCTTCATTTGGGGGGATTTGCTACTCCATTTGGTACAGACTGAAGGGACAGGAAATAAAAAAAAGTTTAGCGTTGTTACAGAACAAGAGGTGAGGATAAATCTTCCAGTTCCGGTTGGTGGTAACGAAGAGGGGAATTTAGCTTCACTTTGTAAGGATTCCCTGCAGCATTTTGTTCGGACCGGAACGCAGGCATAATGTGCCTTGCGATCCCATGCGGCCGATCACATTGCGGCTGGATGGCGTGGCTACGGTGCCATTAACTTCAATGGACCGCCACGCCCCCTCCTTCCCCACAAAAAAGTGAGCCAGCCGCAATGCGAGGCAGTGCGTTCTGGCCAGAATCGGGCCGGAACACACTGCATCTGGTGTGAACGAAGCCCAAGTGCTCCTTTTTAGTTTGGGGAACAGGTGGAAATCACTAGGCTATACAGTGAATGCGGCAGCACTAAAACGTCCAGGTGGAGAATTGCATATCGTGTTACTGCACTTGCCTGAGGCCTGGCGTCGTGTTGAAGAATCGTTTGATTTCTGTTGTTCTCGTGGTATTCTTGCAGGCTTTCTTAAAAAAGAAACAACAATATACTCCGAATGTTACATTGAAACTCTTGCATTAAAAAGAAGAATCACACGGATTGAAATAAGAAATGAAACACTTTTTCAACACGACAACGACAGACCACACTCCAGTGCAGCAACAAGAGATGCGATTCAATGCCTAATAAAAACTTGAAGAAAGCCTGCAATGTGAGTCATGTATACATCATCACTGCACCTCTACATCACCACAATAAATGCTAATCCCTTACAATGGTGGAAATAGACTTTAAGTTTCTTTGCTACTAAGAGAATTTAACTGCTGGTTGTCAGTCATTCGCGATCACATTGATTTCGGTGTGCTGTGAAAAAATTGTATAACCTTTCAGCGGCAAAAAAGCCGTTCACACCATTACGCTGAATTAACATGTTGTTGTGTTTAAACTAATTCTCCTGTACGGTATTCTATAGAATCTGTACATTAACATGTTACCTAAAAATTAATGATAAAAAATAAAGTAATGTGACTGGCTTGACAAAAGAACTGTGCATGCGTCAAGTTAAGTACCATGTATGATGTGCTGTTGTAGGATAAATTGCAACAGGGGTATGGGTATTTATCATTCGATACACAGGCTGGTGAGGTGAACTTCTGTACAAAAATACACATACGCATGGTACAATACTCCACTTATAGTTTACTTCGGATTTGTACAGTCTTTAATGATAGCTATGATCACTTGATGTAGTTTTTTTCATGTAATGCTTACTTTAACAACCCCCAAACATTTCCTATGCTCCTCAGCACCCTCTAGTGGTGGTAGTGCTGTGAGAATGGCATACGTGGAACCCCATTTGTGTTTTCTTATATAGCAAAAAAATACATTAAATATAAATTAAAGGAAATTATAATAAAATGTTTAACTTAAAAAAAAAAAAAACTTTTAGTTTCTGGGTGTGCATCTATTTTAAAATATAAATCAATATTCAAAATCTAACCCTATATAAAACAGAGCCTACGACCTCATACATTCTATATGCAAATTTTTTACCACGCATAAGTGTAAAACCATCAGCGAAAAGCATGATATTAAAAAGTCCTATAAAAGTGAATATGGAAAAAAAGAGTTCCAAGTTACGTGCACCAACAATCCTCTTGTGTGTCTTGCAGATGAAATGGTGACACCGAGGCCACAACTGCCTGATGAAGGGGATCCTGTGTGACCCCGAAACGTTGCAACAAATGTATTTTTTGCATGAAACGTCAATAAAGAGACGTTATTCTACCTTGGAGTGCGGCTGTCCATAATTTCCTATATTCTATTCAGACGGTGGCCATCCGGCGACTACTGATGCACCCAAATTATCATTACGGACTTGTTCTGCCTGATGAAGGGGATCCTGTGTGACCCCAAAACGTTGCAACAAGTGTATTGTTGCATGAAACGTCAATAAAGAGACGTTATTCTACCTTGGAGTGCGGCTGTCCATAATTTCCTATATTCTATTCAGACGGTGGCCATCCGTCGATTACTGATGCACCCAACCTATCATTACGGATCAGCGGTAAGGAGTGCAATGGGTACAGAGATTGTTGCAGACGAAAGACTCCACCCACCATCCAGAGGTAAGTTATACTCACCAAAAAGAAAAGACACTTTTCTTACAGAAGGTCTAAACAGGACAGCAGTCAACTTCTCAAATCTCACACTTATTACAACTCAACATAAGCCTGCATAACCGGAGGGATTCCACAGTGTTTGACTTAAAACCAATCTGCATAGTGTAAGGCTTCATCCAGACTGGGTGATTTGGGATTCCTGCGGCAGAAATCCCAGATGTCCCGTTTAGATGGGGCCACTGTAATTGTTCAACTTAATGACCAGGTGACATTGGCTGCATCTGTAAGTGGCACTCCCCATGGAGTGGTACGGGATATGATTACATGCAGTTTGGAATAAATCACTGTGCCTGGACACGTATCCTGCATCTGTAGGTTCCTGCCTCAGGAATCCCAAATCATCCAGCATGAATGTAGCCTTACACCAAAAAGTGCACTTAAGCACTATGATGAACAGCATGTGTAAATGCTCAGGTTCACTGGCAAGAGCAGTCACATGAGACTAAGCAGAATATTATAGCCAGCCCTTGTTCAGTCTAGCAGCACCATAAACTACCGCCCATAACCTTTTATGATGCTGGTTGTATACCACTTTGCCCAAACTCAAAAAAAATTACCTATACCCACAGAGAGTTCAGACCTTTTCACCCAACGTGTTTCATCACTAAGTCTTCAGGGGCACCCGTCAGATATGTCTGGTAGCTATTTATACATCCTATTAACCTCTTCCTGCCACCATATCTACAATCACCATCATCTCGATAAATAGGCCAACTAAAAAACCACTGCCATCATCCATAAAACATCAGTCCCATAATTCCCAAATGAACTAACTAGACTAAAACAATCAAGAAAAGCCAAATGTAATTTCACTTGTGGCAGCTACTTTAGTGGCCATCTAAGGTGACGATTGTGATGTCTGTGGCAGGAAATATATCACCTATTATTAATTTAAAATATTTAAACGCCTAGATTTGAAACCCTAAAAAGTTATGGTAATCATTTCCAAGACATGACCTTGTTTCAAATTGTCATAACAATACATTTCGGCCTGTGGAAGATTTTTCTGATATAGATTATGATTATCGCAGACATTATGAGCATAGTCACACTATATCTGCTCAGGGTTAAAAGAAAACTATGGGGTACACCTTTGTTGCCAGTTTTAGTTTTAGATGCAGGAGTACATTTTGCTATGTACTACTGTATTTAAAAAATCCATCATAAGCTTGCATATAATGTAATATACTGTGGGCGGGGCTAAGCCGCGCTGAGAAGCTATCCTGACAATATTGTCGGGATCCTCCCCACTTTCCTATCCTACCATTGAGTGGCAGAGGCTTGTAGGAGTTGCTGCGCAGGTGCAGCGGCTCCATCCCTGCCTCCTCTCCATGCTGCTGTCTCTGGACATAGACATAGCAGATCGGGAATAGCCCAGGCACACAACCTGTCTCCACTGTCCCTCTATGCTGCTATCCCTGGACGTAGACATAACACAGGCACACAAGCTCCACCCCCCGTCTCCACTGTCCCTCTATGCTGCTGTCTCTGGACATAGACATAATACATCGGGAATAACCCAGACGCACCAACTCCACCCCCCCTCTCCACTGTCCCTCTATGCTGCTGTCTCTGGACATAGACATAATACATCGGGAATAACCCAGATGCACCAACTCCACCCCCTGCGTCTCCACTGTCCCTCTATGCTGCTGTCTCTGGACATAGACATAATACATCGGGATTCGGGAATAACCCAGACGCACCAACTCCACCCCCCGTCTCCACTGTCCCTCTATGCTGCTGTCTCTGGACATAGACATAACACAGGTGCAAAAGCTCAACCCCCCGTCTTCACTTCCCCTCCATGTTGCTGTCTCTGGACTTAGACATAACACGTGGGGAATAACACAGGCACACAAGCTCCACCCCCGTCTCCACTTCCCCTCCATGCTGCTGTCTCTGGACATAGACATAATACATCGGGAATAACCCAGATGCACCAACTCCACCCCCTGCGTCTCCACTGTCCCTCTATGCTGCTGTCTCTGGACATAGACATAATACATCGGGAATAACCCAGATGCACCAACTCCACCCCCTGCGTCTCCACTG